TGCCTCGCGTGGCGCTGCTAATTCCCGTCGTGCTCGTCGCAGCGGTGCCGCTGGTGGCGCTCGTTCTGGTGCGTGCCGCGGCTTGCTGTCGTGCTCGTTGCAGTGGTGGTGATGGCGGCGTTGATGCTGTTTCGTGTGGTGTTGCTGCTCCTCGTCACGGTCGTCATACCGGTCCTGTTCGCGTCGCTTGTACTGGCGTGTGTGTGTGTGTGTGTGTGGATGGTTGTTCTGCTTGCTGTCGTGTTGACCTCAAAGCTACTAATTGCAGGTGTCGTTTTGCTGCTCGCGGTACTGCTGGTGGCGGCACAGATGCTGCTGTAGTGTTCTTCGCGGTGGTTCAGCTGGTTGCGTCAGAGCTGGCGCGCGTCGTACTATTTGATTCCCGTTGTGCTCGTCAAGCTGGTGCTGCTGGTTGCTTTGGTGTTTCTGTGTGACGTACTGCTGCTTCCCGCGGTGCTCGTCGCAGTGGTGCTTCTGGAGGCGCTGGTGCTGCTGCGCGTGGTGCTGTTGTCTGCTGTCGTGGTGGTAACGGAAGTAATACTGGTGGCGCTTGTGCTGCTCGCGCCACTGCTGCTGGGGGCGTTGATTCTGCTGCGCGTAGTGTTTGGGCTTCCGATATTATTCTGCCTAGCGGTACTGCATGTGGCAGTGGCGCTGCTGCGCGTCGGAGTGTTTTTCTTTGTCTTGCTGCTCACAATTGTGCTGCTGGTGGCGCAAGTGCTGCTGCTGCTAGTGATGCTGCTTCCAGTCGGGCTGGTCATAGTGGAGCTGCTCGTGTCGCTCGCGCTGCATCTGCACGACCGACTCGTTGCGGGTCGTCGTGCGCAACTCCGCCAGGGCGTGGGAGCTGCGGTGCGAGGGGTGAGCAGCGGGTGCCTGTGGGACAGGATGTTAGCTCTGCCCCGGGGCGCCCTCGGTCCCCAGCGCACAATCGAACACCTGGGGGCGTGACGCTTTGCGATGGAGTACGGGGACAACTCCCCCCACGCTGGCCCTGCCGGCGGAGGGCGGCGGGGGGTCGGAGCTTAACAGACGGGGTCAATGCAAACGGGGTCAGCCAGGGCACCGGATCCTGCAGGATCCTGCGAAGATCCCCTCTGGCTGACCCGGGTTAGCGAGCCGCTCGTGGCCGCGAGGCGGCCGCGCATGTTGGCTGACCCGCGTTTGCGAAGCTCTGCGTTGCAGGTGTTTTTCCTGCATTGCGGTGTTTTGGTTTCCTGCTGACCCGGGTCTGGACTGACCCGGGTCAGAAGATTCCCTTAGGGGGTGGGAGCGCTCGTGCAGTCCAGCGCGAATCGCCTGGCGCTGCTGGTTCGTTTCGTGTTCGTTCTAGCGGAACAGCTGGTGGCGCTGGTGCTGCTTCGCGTGGTGCTTTTGCTGGTCAGACAGGGCGCCGGTGCTGGGCGCTGGAGCTGTTAGCCAGGCTGGGCGGCGGCAGGCGGCGGGCGCTTACGGCGGGCCCACGACGAGCCATTACTCCGTCCTTGCGCTCGTCCTGGCGCTCCTGGGCAGCGCTGCTATTATAGGCCCTGGCTGGCGCAACCTTTTCCCTGGGAGTGATCGCCGTTCGGGCTTGGACCGGGCAGCGGTTGCTCCCAGGGTGGGGTTCGCACTGGCTCCTGGCTAAGCTTCGCGCGGACGGACTCCCGAGGCCCAGCGCAAAATCGAACGATCTGGGCCATGACGATTTGCGCTGGAGTATGGGGACGCCTCCCCATCCCGCCGGTGCGGGTGCCGTGGGGTTGGGGGCTCTCGCGCTGTACAGCGCGAATCGCCTGACGATGCTGCTTCCCGTCGTGCTCGTTCCAGTGGGACTGCTGGTGGCGTTTGTGCTGCTGCGCGTGGTATTGCTGCCTTTCGTCGAGCTGGTTGCCGTGGTGCTGTTGGTGGTGCTGGTGCTGGTGCGCGTCGTGCTGTTGGATCCTGTCGTGCGCTTCGCGGCGGCGCTGCTCTGTGCGCGTGTGCCGCCGAGTCCAGTGCTGCTGCTGTTTCGCGTGGCGCTGCTGCTCCCCACCGTGCTCGTCACAGTGGTGGTGCGCGGGGCGCGGGTGTTGCTGCGTTTGGTGCCGCTGCTTGCTGTCGTTTGTGGTCACTGGTGCTGCTGGTGGGGCTTGTGCTGCGTGGGGTGGTGCTGCTGCTCCCTGTCGTGGTCGTCATACTGGTTTTGCTAGTGTCGTGCCAAGCGACCTCAGATGGCGGACCTGCAGATGCGAATGGATCAATGATTGCGAACGTTTACTCGCCTCAGCGCCGGCGGCATCCAATGATGGCGAACGTGAAGCTTGCGTCATCGCCAGCCGCATCCACGGCTACGACGGCTGCCTTCGCCTCAGCGCCGGCCACACCCATGATTGCGAATGTTGTTGTTGCCACAGTTCCGGCAAAATTCACGATTGTGATAGTTGCTCTCGTCTCGGCGCCGGCTGGATTCTTCATTGGAGCCAAAAGAGGATCAGTGATACAGTTGGCAGTTTTGCATTTCATGTTGCCGTGCCGCTCCACGGGTGCATCGTTTGCCACATCGCGCGCGTGACACACTGGTGTCGCCGTGCCGTTGGCCACGCTAGCTTTTAATGGGTCAGGTTCGCTTTGGCGCAGTGTCGACAGGGGCGAGGTCAGGTCAGGCTTGGCTCGGGATTTGCCACGTTAGTGGTTGGGCTTGTAACAACAGGGCGTTGGACATCGAAACCTCAGCACCATCATTGAGGATATCATATTAGAGACAGCCTAATAAGATTCTAATGCGCTGGAGCATGCTTCAGGTACGGTGGCGGATCTTTGGCTTGACCGAACTTGTTTGCTGGCTGCAACTGCGCTAGGTGGTTCAGCGGGGTGAAGATGCAGGCTCTTTAATCTCCGCCCCCTTAACGCAGTTCGCTTGGTCAGGCCAGATGCAACTCACGTTGGCGTCCATTCGTAACCCCCCTATTCCCTTAGCGCCCCCTCGCGGTGACCCGAGCAGAGGACGACAATGGGGAACAATGTATGGTTTCTTAATTTAGTGCGTTGGAGGTTTGGCCCAATCTTTCTCCCTGAGCCGTTTGGGGATTGGGGAGGGGTCCGTTGTTTTATCCTCTCGCGACAGCGGCGGATACCAGGTGGGAAGGGGGGAGGGGGAGGGGCCAGTAACTCAACGATTCGCGCTGGCTCCATCTGGGAATTCGTCACGCTTCGCGTTTCCCCACCAGCTCATCCCCAAACAGCAACTTTTGCGAAGCATACTGACTGTCGTTGTTTTTGGGCGTACCTTCTCCTGCCGTCGCATATACCCTCCTGTTCCTCCTACATCCCATCTGCTCCCTGTTAGCTCTTCCTTGTGGGAGGAGGAGGAAGAAGAGAAGGCGGTGGGAGGCGAGAGGGAGATAGCGGCGGCGACGACGACGACGGCAATGACCACAACGACGACGACGACGACGACGACGACGACGACGACGACGACGACGACAACGATGACCCTGACGACGACGTCGACGACGACGACGACGACCGCGACGACGACGACCGCGACGACGACAACGACTACGACAACCCCGCCTGATCCTTTTTTAGCTCTTCCTTGTGGGAGGAGTGGGAGGAGGACGGGGCGGAGGAGTATGAAGAAGAGAATGCGGTGGGAGACCCCAGGGAGATAGCGGCGACGACGGCGACGACGGCGATGACCACAGCAACGACAACGACGACGACGACAACGACGACCACGGCGACAACGTCGACTACGACGACGACCACAACGACGACGACGACGACGACGACGACGACGACCACGACGCCGCCGACAACCACGACGACGACGACGACGACTTCGACGACCCCTACGACGAAGACGACGACGACTTCGACGACGACGACGACGAGTCAACCATCAATGCCTTTTCTGGGGCTTTCTCTCTGAGAGGCTCTTGGAGGCATCTTGGGGCTATTCAAGGGCCTTCTTGGGGATATGTTTGAGGTCTCCGGGCCCTTTTGGGGTCCCCGTGGTGCCTCTTGGGGCACCCTTGGAGCTCTTTTGGGAGGCTTGGGGCCCTCTTGGGACTCTCCGGAGGGTCTGGGAGGTCTTCTGGGGCCACCTTGGAGGCCACGGCTCAAAAAGGAGCGCGGCGTCAATTACGGTCCCCCCTTCGGAACCCGAAAAGTAGCCTCTTGAGGCCCTCTTGGGCCGTTCTTGGGCGCTCTTGGGCCCATCTTGGGCCTCCCTGGGGCCTGTCTTGGGGCTCTCTTGGGCCATCTTGGGACCATCTTGAAGCCTCAAGAGCCTATTGACAGCGAAATTGCGAGAAGGGAGGAAATATTGATTTCCCATAGGTTTTCGAAGGATTTTGGCCTCGAGGCGTCCCTGGGAGGCTCCGTGGCTACTTGGGGCCGTTTTGGGGCGGTCTTTGAGCGTCGTGTAGGCTTGTTAGGAGCTATCTTCAGTCATCGAGGGCTATTTTGAGCGACCTTGGAGGTCATCTTGAGCTCTCTTGGGCTGCCTTGGCGTCGTCCCAGGCCAATACAGACGCTCAAACGACCTTCGCCCCCCCCTCCAGGCCCAGGGGAGGGGTAAGGGGGAGGAGTAAACCCTTTTCCGAAGGGGAATAATGGGGTTGGACAGAGGAGGCTCTCAAAAACAACTCACGCTCAGAGGGCTGGTGGGATTTGGTACCCCTAGCCATTCCCAGATGATGTTGGAGCGAATGGTGACGTTGCCAGGGAGCGGAGGGGCGTCTCGAGTAACGGGATTCATCGCGAATCGGTAGAAAACGCGCTCGCGGAGGAGGAGGAGGAGAAGGAGGAGGAGGAGGAGGAGGACCAGGAGGAGGAGGAGGAGGCGGCGGAGGAGGAGGAGGAGGAGGACGGGGAGGAGGACGATGATCATGATGATGAGGAGGAGGATGAGGAGGAGGAGGACGAGGAGGAGGAGGAGGAGATCTGGGGAAGCAGAGGCGGACGACAAGGTCCCCTGGTCGCGCTTCTGGTAGCGCTCTGGTCGCCCGCCTCCCCCTTTGGGGAGGGCGCTCGAGGCCAGAGCTACGTCATAGTGCCCGCCAAGGAACGCGAGGACTGCCACAGCCCGGCCTTCGCGAGCGGCTTGGGGGGTCGGCAGGAGGGGTCTCCGGCGATCTGATTTGTTCTCAACCATCCGGTGGTGCTGGGTCCTCGTTTTGAAGAGGCTCGAAGAAGGACAAAAACGCCACGGGCATACACTTTTTGGGCTTCGCGCGGATTTCTTGGATCCGCGTTGGGCCTCCCCGGCGGCGCCTTCGGCGCCGCCCCTGACGCGCTCCGCGCGCGAGGGAGAGGGGGTCCAGCGCAGATCCAAGAAATCCGCGCGGAGACTCAAGAGTTTATAATTATGGCGTTTTCCCTCTAGAGACAGCGCCCCGCGTCCTCCTCCTCGTCGTCCTCCTCCTCCTCCTCCTCCTGGCTCAAGTCGGTTCCGCCGGCTTGACTGGTACTCATCCTGGCTCGAGCTCGGCCTTGCCCTGCTTGCCCAAGTACCGCTCACATGCAGACCTCTCGTGCATGGAGTCCTGCAGCAGCAGGCATCCGACTTGGAGGTCACGCTGAAGCAGATGGAGCCGCAGTGTGCTGCCGCCTGTGCGGCCCTCGGTTTGTCGCGCAGCTCGCGCAGGCGTGCGCGCACCCGCGCCACGCATGCTCTCCACGTCCAGCGAGCGCGCTGCCGCCTGGTGGAGTTCCCGGCGCTCGGCGCCCCACCAGGCCTGGAGGACTGGGTCATCATGGAGATCTACAACACGGTGCTGGCGGCGCTGGATGTGGAGCAGCACGAGATTGGCAAGGAGCTGATCGCAGAGGCACCCTCGGAAGGATCCGCCATGTGGGCCATGGCGGAGAAGGACGAGGCGGCTGAACAAGTGCTGTACACGTCGGCGGGCGAGGAGCTGATGGAGCAGTTCGGCGAGGATCCCGAGGTCGTGGTCGAGAAAGACGCCGTCTCAGTAGCTGGCAAGATCACAACCGCCTCGGCGATCGACTGCGGGAACCCTGCCCGCTCGAAAAAAGAGAACGTCGATTTCACAGAGGAGGGTACCCCCTTCCTGGAGAAGGACGGCGACGGCGGCGGAGAGGAGCAGGAGAAGGAGGAAGTGCAGTTCGGTCAGCCGAGCTCTTCGGACGCAGCGCAGACGACCGACACCATGAAGGCAGTCGTCAACATGGCGCCCTCCGCCGAGAAGGTGCTCTATCCAGAGCCTGGGGTGTCAGGCTCTGTCTCTGAGACCGACGGTGAAACTGAAGACGGAAATACCTCCGAAGGCGCAATCGTAGGCTCGCAGCCCGAGCACGCTGAAGATGCTGCTGGAGTAGCTGCTGGCGCCGATCTGGTGCCACATTGGAGGTACAAAGGTGTCGACGGACATTGGCGTGCTTTCGAGGATTATGACAGTTACGGGAACGAGGCAATTGAGCGTATGTGTTAGCTGCACATCGTGGAAAGGAAACATATCCAGAGGATGGAGTTCGCCTCCCGCCATCTGACAGTCAGCTTTTGCACTATGTATATGAAGTGAACTGGCGCTTCCAGGAAGCAGACAACACAGAGCTCTGGTCCCCCTGGAGCCGCAGCAGATTGGAAGCGATATGTAGCGTGTAAAAGACCTCCCGAGGGTCGTCGGGTTTCCCCCTTGGTCCGTGCAGCGGCGATGCTTCGCCTCTCGCTTGTGCGCGGGTTCGTAATGGAAAGTCAATCGCAGGTCGAGAGCCTCACAGGAGGTGCTTCCTTGCGGTAGCTTGGCGGGGGCAACGGCCTTCGACCCAATTTGAGTCGAGTCGAGCCGAAACCCGAACCACCCCAGGTGAGCGCTCGTCGTCCTCCTCCTCCTCCTCCTCCTCCTCCTCCTCCTCCTCCTCCTCCTCCTCCCCCTTGTCTGAGAAGAATCGTGTATGAATGCTGGCACCGCTCTAGGGATGTGTGAGTCATTCGCTCCCCATTGCGGTGAGTCCTGAATCCCGAATCCTCCCTCCTCCCCCATCCCTCCAATCCCTGCCCCTGTCCTCCGCATCTCTATGTCGGCGCACCCCTCACACGATCCGTGGCCCCGCAGGGCGCTCCACCAAAAGGCCCCCGTGGCAGCGCCCGCATGGCAGCGCCACCCCTCGTGTGGGCACACCCCTCGTACGTTTCGTGGCCGCGCCGCGAGCTCCACCGAAGCCTCCAGTCTCCTCCTCCTCCTCCTCCTCCTCTTCCTCCTCCTCCTCCTCCTCCTCCCCCTCCCCCTCCCCCTCCTCTTCCTCCTCTTCCTCCTCCTCCTCCTCCTCCGCCCCACGGCACCACCACAACCGTTTTGGTTCACGCATCATACGGTTCGTCGCCCCGCAGGGAGCTCCACCAACGGCCCCAGTGGCAGCGCCCGCGTGGCACCACCGCGACCGTTTCGGCACACCCCTCACACATTTCGTGGTTCCATGGGGAACTCCACCGAAGGCCACAGTGGCAGGGCCCACATGGCAGCGCCGCGCTCGTTTCGGTACACCCATCACACGTTGGTGACCACAAATGGAGCTCCACCGAAGGCCCCAGCGGAACCCACATGGCACCACGGCACCCATTTCGGCACACCCTTCACGCGCTTCGTGGCCCCACGGGGAGTTCCACCGAAAGCTTCAGTGGGGGGGGCCCGCGCTGCGCCGCCAGACCCATATCGGCACTCCTCGCGCACGTTTCATGGCTCCACAGGAGCCCCACCGAACTCACAACCCAGGTACCTACAACTGCGTATAGTTCGGCCCTTCGCCAATCTAATTTCAATCGGGGCAATTTTCCCCGAGTTCGGGAACTTCTGCAGGAACGTGCATTTGAGATGCCCCGCGGCGGATTTCTCGGATCTGCGTTGGACCCCTCCCCTGGCGGCGTCTTTGGCGCGGCGAGGGAAAGGGGTTCCAGTGCATATCCAAGCAATTTGCGCGGAGCTTCGAACATGCATGTTTATGCAGCTGCATCTTTCTCTATCTGGTGGCTTTCGGCCCATCCCTCCACCGTGCCTGGGTTGTGGGTATTAAGTCTACTCGATGTTCGTTGGCATCTCCCAGGGGCCCTCCTGCGGGGCCTCTTGGGGGCAGTTTTGAAGCCTTTTGGGGGGCCATTCTGGGGCCTCTTGGGGGCCTTCTTCTGTTGCCCTGGTTTTTTGGTCTCGAGGGCCCGCGATCGGCCCAGGGGCCGTGGGGTCGTCTCGGGGGCCTCTTGGGCCGTTCTGGGGCCCTCTCGGGGGCCTCCCGCGCAACATTCGGGCGATCTTGTGGGGCTCATAGGCGTTCTCGGGCCGTCAGAAAGCCGAACAGAAACTCAATTGTTTTAACATACGAATGCTCAATGATACGATCGGCGTCGTTTTGGTGAGGAAGGCCTGTGCCAGAGCTCCAAGAACTTATTCACGACGTTGGAAAGTTCCAACCCCATCACACTTCGTGGCTTTCATCATCGTTTCGTCATAGCCAGGCTAAGACCGGGAAAGCCGTAACGTCCCAGAGCGCCATTCCTGGCGATCCCAGGACCATTTTGTCATAGCCAGGCTAGCACTGGAAACAACGTAACATCCAGGAGCGCCACTCCTGGCGATCTCATCGGCGTTACGCTTGAGCCAGGCTAGGACGGCACACGGAAGCAGCGGATGCCAAAGTCCTTCAAAACCAATTGCAAGTCACTGATTTTGGCTTCCTACGGCCTTCCTGGAGGCCCTCTTGGAGGCCTCTTGGATCGTTTTGGAGACCTCTTGGGCCGTCTTGGGCCATCTTGGAGCCATCTTGGGCCGTCTTGTTGGCCTGCTGGTCTGTCTGACGCCGTCGCAGCCGTCTTGGGGTCTCTTCGGGCCGACTTGGGGCCCTCTTGGGGTGCTCCGGGCCGTCTTGGATGCCATCTTGGGCGTCTTGGAGGCCTCTTCGGCCGCCTTGGGGCCCTCTTGGGGCCGTCTCGGGGGCCTCTTGGGCCGTTTTGGGGCCATCTTGGAGGTCTCTTGGGCAATCTTAGGGCCATCTTGGGGGCCTCTTTGGCCGTTTTGCTCTTCGGCCGTCGTGGAGGCCTCTGGGGCCGTCGTGGGCCGTCTTGGAGCTTTCTCGGGAGGATTTCGAGGCATCTTGGACTCGCTTGGACCGTCTTGGAAGCCATCTTGGGCGAACTTGGAGGCCATCTTGGCCGTCTTGGAGGCCATCTTGGGCCGTCTTGGGGCCATCTGAGCCAGGAAAAACCTTAGAAGCCAACTCGCCCGGAGCCTTCTGGGTGGCAGGCGAGACGGGCCGAAGCCCCAGGGGAGAGTTCTCTTGGAAAAGAACCAACACCGAGAGCGGTAGGGTTCAGCACGCGAGGCACCCCTGTGGCAAGACCACGGGGGGCGGCGGATCCACTGGCCTTCGGCCCATTCCGCCTCCGCGCCTGGGTTGCGGGTTCGGGTCCTCTTTGGGCCCGACAAAGTCACGCGAGAAGGCGCCAAGCCCAAGGAGATTCGAGAGCGAGGGGTCCGGGCCCCTGAAGGACTCCTCAGGACTGAGGATGGAGGCTTAGAGGATTGGGCAAAGGACCTGAGGGCACGCCCACTCCGTGCCCAGCGGCACGGTGGCGGATTATCATTGATGATGTATATGATGATGATGATGATGATGATGATGATGATGATGATGATGATGATGATGATGATGATGATGATGATGATGATGATGATGATGGATGCTGATGATGATGCTGATGATGATGCTGATGATGATGATGATGCTGATGCTGATGGATGATGATGGTGATGAGGATGAGGATGAGGATGAGGATGATGATGGTGATGATGATGATGATGATGATGATGATGATGATGATGATGATGATGATGGCAATGATGATGATGATGATAATGATGATGATGATGATGATGATGATGATGATGATGATGATGATGATGATGATGATGATGATGATGGTGGTGGTGGTGGTGGTGGTGGTGGCGGTTAGAGGTGGTGGTGCTGGTGGTGGTGGTGAGGGTCTTTGGTTCCAGGGCTCCCAGGTCCGAGTGTCAGAGGAGGAAGAGCGCCACCTCTCAGAGGAGAACAGGCGTCCCCTGCCCTCGTTTTGCTCCTCTGTGGCCTCCTGGGAGGGCCCCGTCGCCACGGCTGGATTCGCTTCGAAATGATGGTCAGAGCGCACCCCAGGAGAGGTCGGGGGAGTAGCTGTATCGGCATGTGGTTGTTCCCCCCGGTGGGGTCGGATGATCGCGCCATATCGCCGCTGCATCGGCGACGCCAGACTTGGAAGGCCTCTCTTGTGAGCACCCCGACGCCCAAGCTTTGATGCCCGAGCTTCCTGCGTTCATGCTTACTTATCTTCTCGAGAACTTACCCCAACCAGGGTGCGGCAGGGGGGCGGCTGGGATGGTTGGCCGGAGGGTTGGTTCGGGTTGGCCAGCGGGTTGGTCTGGGTAATTCTTCGATCGGTGGCCCTTTCCACAACATATCTAGTAGGTCTGTCTCTGCTGATGTTCCCACCGCTGCCGACCCGCCTCGTGCTGTTTTGTCTTACCGGTGATCCGCCTCTCTCCCTCTTGCCGCGCGTTTGCCCTCTTCTCCCCCCACCGTGAGGCCGACTCCTGCCACAGCAAAAGCATTGCTGGTGATGCTGCTGCGCTGCCCCCCCTCCCCATCACGGAACGCGTGCCAAGGACCTGAAGAACATCACTGGAGATCGATGGCGCCGCATGAAGGCAAGTGCTGCGACCGCGGCAGCCGCTACCCCCAGCGCCAGGACATGTCCATTATCCACTGTTTCTGGGTCGTGCTCGCGGGACCTCGGGGAGTGGTGGGTCCGGATATTGCCCGCCGCTGCGGGCTCAGAATATCTTCATGTATCCACCAGTCCGCATGGACCGTTGGCCGACTTCGTGCGTTGTAGGCCTGGACACGTTCTGGCGGTGCAGCTGCGTTCCTTTGCGAACGTTGTCCAGATGCTTGTCGCAGGTTCCGCCACCGTATCAGCGCAGCACTCTGTGTGGCAACGATTCGGGTACCGACGCTTCGAGCACTGCCCATAAGTCCGTAATACATATGACGCCTATCGTCTCTATTAGTTGAAAGGCTATCTTGGGGTCTACCTGGGCCGTTGCGGAGCTGTCTTGGGTTCCTGCGAGGCCGTCTTCGGTCCCTGTTGGGGACCTCCTGGGCCCCTCTTGGCGTGCCGTTTTGGGCCTTCTGGGGCCCTTGCTGGTCGTTGTGGGAGTCGTTGAGTGCTGTCTTGGGCGCCTCTTGGAGCTCTCTTGGATCGTCCTGGGGCCCTGTTCAGCTGTCGTTGCCCCCTCTTGGGCCTCGATGGAACCCTCCTGGGGCTGTCCTGTGCCGTTTGGGGGGCCTCTTGGCGGCCTTCCAGGGTCAGTGTTGCATTTCTTTTTCCTGGAAAGTGCCCGGGCCCAGGGTTCTCGATTAGCTGTTCACCCCCGGAATCGACGGGAAGAGGGCCGGCGAAATTATTCGATAACAAGGTCGAAGAGGGCCGGCGACATTATTAGTGTTCTAGATTCTAGACTGTTCTTCTCCTGGATTCAGAGGATGTCTCAGGTGAAATGCTAGTTTTCACTTGCCCAGGTCTTGAGAATGTCTCGAGCGAGACGCTTGGTTTCACGCGTCCAGGTCTCGAGAGAGACGCTTGTTTTCACGCGTCCAGGTCGCCCAGAAGGATGTCTAGCATGAGGATGTGTTGAGGCAGTCTCGACCGAGACGCTTGTTGGCACGTGTCCAGGTTGCCCAGGCGGATGTCTAGCACGGGATGTGTTGAGAATGTCTTGAGCGAAACGCTTGCTTTCACGTATCCAGGTCGCCCAGGCACAGCACAGCCTTCGGCACGGTACATCAAGACCGATACACTCAGCATCGCAAGTTGGCACGTTCCCTGGCACGTTCAGTGGCGCGTCCCGTGGCGAACCCCCCTGGCACGTCGCGTGTCGCGTTCCCTGGCACGCCCCGTGGCACGCCCATTGGCACGTTCCGTAGCGCGTCCCCTTGGCACGTCCCGCGGTGCGTCCCCATGGCACGTCCCCTGGCACGTCGCCTTGCGCGTCCCTTGGGACGTTCCGCGGCGCGTCCTCCTGGCATGTCCCCCTGTCATTTAAGCTCTGGGGCAGCTACTATGTTTTCGGGTAGCTCGAGGTTTAGATCCAGATCAGTTCGGTCAGGACTCGGATGCAAAGGAGGACTCGATCGATAACGCTATAGGGCACAATTGCGGCATGGCACATCGCAATTCAGCACGGCGCAGCTTTTTCTCACGTGTCCAGGTCGCCCAGGCACAGCACAGCAAGCCAGCACATTCCTTGGCACGTTTTCAGAAGACGATTTTGGGAGCCTCTTATTGTCATCTGGCCTGGCTATCCTGCGCCTCCAGTGGTCCACAGTCGTTTGCTCGCGCCACTGGAGACCACTGGGGGCTACGGGAGGCCACTGGAGGCCACTGGAGGCCACTGGGGCTACTCCGGGGCCTCCCAGGAGGGCGCAAGAGGAGGAACACGGGCGAAGGGTAGCGGTATGGGTGCAGGCCGGTCGTTGAAAGTAGGTATTTCTGGATTCCCAGATCCCAATCTGCTTTTGGCGCCTTCCTGCTTGAAGGATCGATTGGTTTCAGTCTACCCCCCTCCTCTTCAGGGGGCGGGCGGAAACCCGATTTACCTCCAGCTCCCTCCTGCTTCGTGCTTCCGCCCACTTCCTCCGACCGGCGTGTGCCTTCTCCTCCTCCGATGGGTCTAGCGCTTGGCCTCCCCGGGTGCTCCACGCGCGAGCCCAGCCCTGAGCGCTACCGGCTTCCTTCCCTTCGGCGGCGGGCCTCGTGGAGGGGAAGTCCTGGACGTGGCGGTTCGCCTCAGAAGGCTCGGGGAAGGCCTCTCGGCCTTCTGGAGAAGTGTTCTCTGAGCCTCCTCCTCCTCCTCCTCCTCGCCTCCGAAGACGCAGGAAAATCTCCAGAAGGCTCCGAAGACGCAGAAGCTCCTCAGAAGGCTGGAGGGCTTCTGAGAATCGAGGAAGGAAAAACGCCGCCACTGGCGCGCTCCGCGCGCCGGGGAGGGGGGTCCCGCGCGGATCCAAGAGATTCGCTCAGAGCGCTACAAGTGTATGTTTTGATGGGCCCGTTTTCCACCGCCACAGAGGGGGGAAGTAGGTGGAGGATGAGAAGGAGGAGGATGAGAGGAGGAATAATAATAATGATAATAATAAGAAGAGGAGGAGGAGGAGGAGGAGGAGGAGGAGGAGGAGGAGGAGGAGGAGGAGGAGGAGGACCCCCTCCCCCTCTTACTTGTGGTGGCGGTGGTGGAAAACAAGCCCACCATGTTCACGGCGTTTTTTCTTCTTCCAGAGAAGCCCCGCGGCTTTCCGACAAGGCCTCCGCCCTCTCGCTTCCCGCCCGGTCGCGCCGCCGAGACCTGCTCCTGCGTCCCACTGTTCTGTCGGGCCTGCCTCTCTACAGGGGGGATGCTCGAAGATAGCAAAAATCATAGTCAGGGGACTCTCTGTTTCACTGTTCTTGAGCATTGGGGGGGATTTTTGCTGGGTATCGTAATGGCCTCCGGCCGGTGCTGCCGATCCGGGGGGGGCTCCGGAGCTGACGTGCGCTGTCTGGGAGGGAGCGGCGCGCGAGCCTCCGACCCCATCTGCTCGGGTTAAGTCGGGCCTGTCCCCCTACAGGGGGATTGCCGACGAAAAATAAAGAATAATAGCAACAACAACAAAAACAGTACAAAAATAGTCAGTGGACTATTTTTGGTGTATTTTTGTTGACCTTTTTGGGATATTTTGGGGGTATTGTTTTTTTCATCGAAAATCCCCCTGTAGTGGGACACGCGCGACATAATGCTCGGGCCCCATCTGGGACGCCTGGAACACAGGGCAGTAGGATTAGGTCGGGCCTGCCCCCCTACATGGGGGCTCTGGGCGACAAATAAAAAAAGTCCGCCGATCTGGCGCGTGAACTACAAGGAGCCTCAGCGAGAGCTTCGGCTCTGAGCCTAAGCAAGAGCTTCAGCTCTGCTTGGGGGGGGTCGCTGGAGTGGCTCTGCCAGGGAAGGGAGGGAGGGAGGAGGGGGGCGGTCCGCCATCTGGCGTTCTCTTCATGGTTCGCGCATCATGTGCGAAAAGTGCGCCAGGGCGGCCGCGTTGGAACTGTTGCCTCCGAAGCTCGGGAAAAGCCGGCCATCTGGCCCGATGTGGAGCCAGACTCTCACTGCTCCGACGGTGCCGATGCATCGCTGACGTGGTCGACGCATCGCCGATGCATTGGCGATGCGGCCCGGTCCTCTGGCCCCATCCCATCGTGCCCCATTTGGGAGGCGCCTACAGTGGGGGCCCATGTCGAGAAGCACCCTGCTTTCCTACAGGGTGCCTTGGGTTTTGGGGTCTCGATGGTGTCGTCGTGGAAGGCGTGACGTTCCCACACCAAACATCGATGGACGTCCCGGGGTCTCGGGGTTGGGTCTCTTGTGGAAGGCTTCCTTTGGTCGGGTCCCTGCTGTACCACTGGTGCGCCTGGGCGTGTCGACCGACGGGGCGCACCGCCAGCGGCATGCCTGGGCCTGCTCCGGTGCATCCCGAGGTGTCTCACGCGCTGAGGGCTCCCCTCCTCTCGGGGGAACGTAGGTCACCGAGCGCGTTCCACTACTCGCAAAGTGCCTACGCGCAAGCGTCCGAAAGACACATTTCTGCTTCGATATAATTGATCGCAAATCCCCCGCGGCGGATCCTGGCTAGTTGCGAGAGGTTACTTTGCGAGTGGTCGAACGCGCTTGTCCAGTAAGACTCGAGTAAGCCGGATCTCAGGTTTGCCGAAGTTTTTTGGACGAGCGCGTCCTGGATTTTGACGTTCCAGTTTTCGTGGGATGTCGGCAGCGGGAGCCCGCGTCAGATTTCAGATGGGGTCTCATCATTTTTACGATGGCCCCGTCAGGCCAATCCGAGTCCCCCGTACCTGAGTCTTACGTCTCCCAGATCCTCCTGAACCTCCCGGGTTCCCCGTTGCTTCTGTGCCCAATGACTCTCTTGCCCTCCTGCCTTGTGATGTTCCAGCCTACTTTAGCCCTGATCGCCAGAAGGATTGTTTTTAGCACCAAGAAAGTATCGAAGCTGGAAGGTTTTCACGTGTCAGGCCTTGGGAGGCCATACTTGTGAGCTCGGAACTGTTTCTGGGATGTGGTCTTTAAGTGCGATGGGAACAACATAGCTCCTGCCCTCTTCTGCCCTGTTTGCGCAGCAGTAGCCATGTCAGCGCGTGACCGCCACTCTGATCAGAGACGAAGCCGATCAGCAAGTGCCCAGCTCCCTGGTAGAAGGAGTCGCGTATTTCGGTAGAAACTCGTGTGGGCCTTGTGTGTCCTCGGGATTCAGTATAGTGTTTGGGACCATCAGCGTGCGCCAGCGTCTTGTAATCCACGCAAGCGCGCCGCCTGAGTGTCTACCAGCGTCGGCTCGGGTCGTCTAGCGTCGGGTTCACGTCGGTTCTGAAGAGCCAGCAAGATCAGACGGGAAGTCCCCATGCAGTGCCACCGAAGTACATTTTCTTTGCGCACCCTGCGCGGAAGCTCGTATCTGCCTCGGCGCGGGGCCTCGGGGCCGGCCGGAACTGCCAGACCGCCCCATCGCACCCGGTGCTTTCTCTTGAGGCGGGTGCTGCGTGAGGGCAGAGCGCCCGCCTGTACACCTCGCCACGTGTTGCCCCCCCCTGCCAGGTGCAGATCGATCCGTTCATGCACGTGGAGGCGCAGAAGGCACGTGTTGGGAAAGCGCCCCCGCACCGGTCTGCATGTGCGTCGCCAGTAGTCGGTCTGGCTCAGAAGGGCCTCGCCGCATAGCGTTCTTGTGCATTCCCGGGCGATAGCGGGCGGTCACGGGGGGAGGGGAGGCGGGGGGAATGAGGTCAACATTTGGTTCTATTTAACGATGTGTTGTTTGTCCCGGAAATGGCGGATGCCCAGGGATCTCTTTTGGCTGTTTCCCCCGGCCTCGACTGGAGACGGGCCGGCGAGTAGAATCTGCGAGGAATCGCGAGGTCGCTTACAGGGCCGGCGAGTGAGGACATTGAGGATGTCCTGGGCGAAACGTTCACTGGTCGTTCCAGGGAGGGACGTGGGCCCAGAGTTCTTCGGAGGTTGATAGACCTCCTTCCCTGAAACGTCGATTAACGAATTGGCCGTTTTCGGTTCGCGAGAGGGCGTCGCGGCCGTCATTTTTGCGGGTCCAGATCCGTCGGTTTCGGTCCCAGGCCGTTTTCATTGAAGGGTGGTTTACTAAAGGGAGGTTTGTCCACCGCCGATTACCCCAGAATCGACGGGAAGCGGGCCGGCGGAATTATTTGCGGCAGATCTCGAGGCGGGGGGCCGGCGGGATTATTTTTGAGGATGTCCCGATTCCGAACGCCCCACGGCGGGAGATATGTGAAAACACATGGGTTCCTAACGCCCCAGGTCGCCCAGGCGGATGTCTAACATAAGGATGTGTTGAGACCGTGGCCCGTCGCGACGGGCGGGATGCGCCGTCCTGGGGCTCTGCGGGAATTTGCTGCCCCGCGGGCATTTGTAGTCCGTTATGACTGGCGGAACGCGCTGGAGCTGGGGCATGCGTGATTCGTTGTGACGGGCGAACCAACCTGGGATGGGGCCCCGCGAGCATTTGTGACACGTCGAGACGGGAGGGGCGCGCTGGGGCGTGGGCCGGGTGCACATTTGCAACCCGCTGCGACGGGCGAAACGATGCGGAGCTGGTGCCCTGCGGGCATTTGCGCTCCGTTATGACGGGCGGATCGCGCTGGGGATGGGGCCCCTGCGGGCATTTGTGACTCGTTGTGAGGGGTGGAACGCGCTGGGGCTGCGGCCCCGTGAGCATGCGTGACCCGCGGCGCAGGCATGTATGACCCGCTGCGAATAGGGCGGAGCGCGCTGGGGCGCGGGCGCCGCTGGGCATTTTGTGGCCCGTTGTGGCGGGGAGAACGAGCTGGGGGCTGGGGCCCCGTTGCGGCGGGAGGGATGCGCCAGGGCTCCGGTAGGTTCGCGTCGTGTCGACCGGCGGCGACCCCGCCGCCGACATTCAACGTTGAACGCCGACGGCGGCCCAGAATCGGTCGATGTTGAACGATCGGACGTTGCGGTGACGGCCGATCGTTCAAGGTTGAACGATCCAGCGCGGTGTCAGGAACCAACGCCAGGGTCGACACGGCACGGACCTGCAGTAACGTCCCGCGGGCATATGTGACCCGTTGTAACGGGCGGATCGTGGTAGGGCTGGGGCCCCGCGGGCATGTGAGACCCGTCGTGACGGGCGGAACGCGCGTATGGGCCGGGGCCCCGTGATCATCTGCGACCCGCCTTTGACGAACGGGGAGCGTCGGGGTTGGGGCCCCGTGGGCAGTTGCGACCCGCTGTGGCGGGCGGAGCGCGCCAGGGCCCAGGCGACGCGTGCACGTGTCACCCGCTGTGACTGGCGGAGCGCGCTGGGGCTGCGGCCCGCGGGCATTGGCGACCCGCGGCGATGGGAGGGATGCGCCGGGGCTAAGGTGTTGTGGGCATTTGTGGCACGTTGTGACGGGCGGATTGCGCTGGGACTGGGGCCCCGTGGGTGTTGTTGACCCGATGTGATGGGCGGAACGCGCTGGGGCTATGGCCCTGCGGTTGTGTGTGACTCGCTGTGACCGGAGGGAGGCGCTGGTGCCAGGGCCCTGTGGGCATTTGATGCCCGTTGTGACGGACGGATCGCGCTGGGACTGGGGCCCTGCGGGCATTTGTGACCCGATGTGACGGGCGGAAGCACAGGACATTAAGATCGATACATTCAGTGTTTCAACCTGGCACGTTCCCTGGCGCGTCCCGTGGCGAGTCCCCCTGGCACGTCGCGCGGCGCGTCCCCTAGCACGTTCCGTGGCACGTCCATTAGCACGTTCCGTGGCGCGTCCCCGTGGCACGTCCCGAGGTGCGTCCCCATGGCACGCCCCCTGGCGCGTCGCTTGGCGCGTCCCTTGGGACGTTCCGCGGCGCGTCCTCCTAGCATGCCCCCCTGTCAGTAGCTCTGGGGCAAATACTATGTGCTCAGGCAGCTCGAGCTTAGATGCAGATCGGTTCGCTGAGAAAACGAGACTCGAATCCCCGGGGGCCTGCGCCGCGGGGGCGCAGCGGCCGCGGGGGGCAGCGGCCGCGGGCTTCCGTAGCTGTGCCAGTGACGCGTCACGCACACACACACACACAAACGACACCGACCCAGCACCAACAAGGGGCTTGAACGGTGCATATTCCCAAGCCCAGCCCAGGATGCATGCACGTGACATGAGAACAATCCAACACTGTGAGAATGCATGCAGAGGCCCCCCGAGACTCTCCCTACGTTTTCTGGGCCGTACGAAGCAAGCATCGCCGTCTGCAGGATTCGGACGAAAGGAGGACTCGATCCACAACGCTATAGAGGCACAATCGCGGCATGGCAAGTCGCAGTTCAGCACGGCTCAGCACAGCACAGCCCTCGGCACAGTACATCAAGATCGATACACTCGGCATTGCAACCTGGCACGTTCCCTGGCACGTTCCGTGGCGCGTCCCGTGGCGATTCCCCCTGGCACCTCGCGCGGCGCGTCCCCTGGCACATTCCGTAGCGCGTCCTCGTGGCACGTCCCGCGGTGCGTCCCCATGGCACGTTCCGCGGTGCGTCCCCATGGCACGCCCCCTGGCGCGTCGCTTGGCGCGTCCCTTGGGACGTTCCGCGGCGCGTCCTCCTGTCATGTCCACCTGTCAAGTAGCTCTGGGGCAGCTACTACGTGCTCAGACAGCTCGAGCTTAAGATGCAGATCGGTTCGGTCAGCACTCGGATGCAAAGGGGGACTCGATCCACAACGCCATAGAGCATAACCGCAGCATGGCACATCGCAGTTCAGCACGGCGCAGCACAGCACAGCCCTCGGCACAGTACATCAAGATCGATACACTCAGTATTGCAACCTGGCACGTTCCCTGGCACGTTCCGTGGCGCGTCCCGTGGCGAGTCCCCCTGGCGCGTCGCGCGGCGCGTCCCCTGGCACGTTCCGTAGCGCGTCCTCGTGGCACGTCCCGCGGTGCGTCCCCATGGCACGTCCCGCGGTGCGTCCCCATGGCACGCCCCCTGGCGCGTCGCCAAGCGCGTCCGTTGGGACGTTCCGCGGCGCGTCCTCCTGGCATGCCACCCTGTCAATTTGCTCTGAGGCAGCTACTATGTATTCAGGCAGCTCGAGCTAAAGATGCAGATCGGTTCGGTCAGCACTCGGATGCAAAGGGGGACTCGATCCACAACGCTATAGAGCACACACGCGGCGTGGCACATCGCAGTTCAGCACGGCTCAGCACAGCACAGCCTTCGGCACAATCCATCAAGATCGATACATTCAGTATTGCAACCTGGCACGTTCCCTGGCACGTTCCGTGGTGCGTCCCGTGGCGATTCCCCGTGGGACGTGTCGGGGAGCGTCCCCTGTCACGTCCCGTGGCCCGTCCATTGGCACGGTCCGTAGCGCGTCCTTTTGGCACGTCCCGCGGTGCGTCCCCATGGCACGTCCCCCTGACGCGTCGCCTGGCGCGTCCGTTGGGACGTTCCGCGGCGCGTCCTCCTGGCATGCCCCTTTGTCAATTAGTTCTGGGGCAGCTGCTATATGCTAAGGCAGCTCGAGCTTAAGATGCAGATCGGTTCGGTCAGCACTCGGATGCAAAGGAGGGCTCGATCCACAACGCTATAGAGCACAATCGCGGCATGGCAAATCGCAGTTCAGCACGGCTCAGCACAGCACATCCCTCGGCACAATACATCAAGATCGATACACTCAGTATTGCAACTTGGCACGTTCCCTGGCACGTTCCGTGGTGCGTCCCGTGGCGATTCCCCCTGGGACGTGTCGGGGAGCGTCCCCTGGAACGTTCCGTGGCGCGTCCATTGGCACGGTCCGTAGCGCGTCCTTTTGGCACGTCCCGCGGTGCGTCGACATGGCACGTCCCGCGGTGCGTCCCCATGGCACGCCCCCTGGCGCGTCGCTTGGCGCGTCCCTTGGGACGTTCCGCGGCGCGTCCTCCTGGCATGTCCCCCTTGGCAAGTAGCTCTGGGGCAGCTACTATATGCTCAGACAACTCGAGCTAAAGATGCAGATCGGTTCGGTCAGGACTTGGATGCAAAAGAGAACTCGATCCACAACGCTATAAAGCACAATCGCGGCACGGCAAATCGCAGTTCAGCACGGCTCAGCACAGCACAGCCCGCGGCACAATACATCAAGATCGATACACTCAGTATTGCAACCTGGCACGTTCCCTGGCGCGTCCCGTGGCGCGTCCCGTGGCGATTCCCCCTGGCGCGTCGCGCGGCGCGTCCCCTGTCACGTCCCGTGGCACGTCAAGTATCACGTTCCGTAGCGCGTCCCTTTGCCACGTCCCGCGGTGCGCCCCCATGGCGCGTCCCCTTGCACGTCGCCTGGCGCGTCCGTTGGGACGTTCCGCGGCGCGTCCTCCTGGCATGTCCCCCTTGGCAAGTAGCTCTGGGGCAGCTACTATGTGCCAAGGCAGCTCGAGCTTAAGATGCAGATCGGTGTGGTCAGCACTCGGATGCAAATGAGGACTCGACCCACAACGCTATAGAGCACAGTCGCAGCATGGCACATCGCAATTCAGCAACGGCTCAGCACAGCACAGCCCTAGGTACGGTACAGCAATATCGATACACTCAGCCTTGCATTTGCCCGTCGCCATCTCAGGTGTCTTTGAACCGTTGC